TGAGTAGAATAGAGTGGAAGTTGAAGGACACATGGATGCCAGAGAGATGTGTGAAGGGTAAGAGGGAGAAAAGAGGAAAAGAGGAAGAGGAGGGAGAGAAGTGGATAGAAGAGAGTCTGATCAAGGGATAGAAGAGCAAAAGAGGGGAGAAAGAGAGCAGGGGAAGTTAAGAGAATAAGGAGGGTGGAGAAAAGAGAGGAGAGATCTATTATAGATTAAAATTAAATTTACTAGATCTTGATGGAAAGGAAGTTAGTACTGAATTGAATCAAGAAAAAATTTTATATGACATTTTCTACAAATTCATTTTGTAAACAAGAACTTATTCTCACCGCAACAGTTCTTATTTCTTGAATAATGGATATAAGTCAACCAAAAGATTAAAAGTAAAACTAGAATCCTGTTCCCCTTCTATACCAAGAAAACAGAGTCTCAGAAAAGAAATACAGGGCTAGTTATTCCATACTCTCTTCAAACACCTGACGGGGGTCACAATGTGTTTAATTATGTCTCTCTTCACAATCCTTGCTCCCACGATTTCATAATAAATTATGTATGCACCAGAATGGAGATATACTTTCTGCATTTTCTCTCTGGTGGAAGAAATGCCGTTAATGAGGCAGGATTCAGTTTGGATTTGTTTGATGACCCAAAAAACTCACTCTTCAATTCTCACTACCCCATGCCTCTGTTTTAACACAGGTGAACCTGCTTTTATACCCCTGCCTTTTCTTTGCAGGAATTGTCCATTGACTCCTGTGGGGACTCAGATAAATCAAGGCCCATCAGAGAAGAGGACTTTTGTTTGCTCAGTCTGAGGCTTAGGATTTCAGTATTTGCCTGAAGCTTGTGGCATGTGGAACAGAACTTAGCTTTGGAAATCTGGCCTTTTCACAGATCAGGGCGTCTGTTCGCTGAGTAAAGGTAAAGGTAAAGGTAGAGGCCCTCCCGTTGATCGTCGATTTGCTCGAGCAGGCCCAGTAACGTCTCCATTGGAGACTTTGTTGTTACTGTGTCTGGCATATCGAATACTCTCGGTAGCTTGCCGGGCTCTCCGAGAGGGGCGGAGGAATCGAACTCGGGTCGGCCATGTTGGCCGTGTGTAAGGCGAACACCCTACCGCTGTGCTATCGCTCCAGCCCTTCGCTGAGTAGAGCAGCTTATTTGTACAGATGCCCCAAAAGAGGGGTTGGAGGGTAATGGGAGTCAGCTGCTTGCTTCGTTAGCTAGTATTAGATTAGAATATTTCTATTTCCTCATTTTTTCACATATGAATAAGTTTTAGCCAGCGGGCAAAGATGAAAGAATAGATTTTTTTTTGGGGGGGGGGGCGGGGTTGGCACCCCCAGCTCTGCATGAAATTTTCTTCCAACTTCTCAATGTTTGTGGGTGGGTTCACTCCTGGATGTGCTCAACGTGGGACAATTGTGGTGCAAGGAATGGACCTTGGGCTTTCCACATGCAAAACATGTGCTTTGGCCCCGAACCATTTTTATTCTGTTAAATCCTATATTAACTTTATTAGTGACATCTTGGGAGCGATTTCTCATCAGTTATTCAACTTATAGCTACACTTCACTTTTCTATCGATCAGTTTCAATGGCTTGAAACGACCCAAATAATAGTTTGAAGTGATAGTATGGCAGGCAGGGTGCTTGCCTTGCACATGGCTGAGTCAAGTTTGATCTTTGGCATTCCATGTGGTCCCCTGAGCACTAGTGGTAGTAATTCCTCAGTTCAGAGTGAGGGACAACCCTTGAACACTGCTTGGTTGCTCCCCACTATAAAAAAATAGCTTGAAGCAATACACATTTATTTTAAATTCTGGGATGGATATTTGAAGGGTTCTATGATAAATGTCTTGACCTTACCATTTCAAGCAGCCTAAAATCTCAGCCTTCCATTTTAAGATTCCAAGAGAACGGCATAGCTTATCTTCTATGATAAGATAAATATATTTCACCGAAAAACTGATTACAGCAGGAAAGTACTCAGTCAGAACAAGTTTTCCCATTTCTTTTATGTTTGCCTAACTTTCTAAAGTTAGCATGCACCTCTACCAATGAACTGATCCTAATCTAGAGTGAAAAGCAGTCATGGGCAATTATCACTTTAAGTAAGCGGGAAAAATCAATAGTTATTTCTTTTCTGTGTAAATGGAAATAATGAAGCCATGATGGCATTGTCTGCTACAAAAAAATGTGTATCTTAAGAATCTAAAGTCCTAAGATGGCACTGTTTTAAACAATGATTTATAACACAAGGAAATGGCTGAATTTCCCAGAGTAAATGCTTTCATGCGTAATATACTCAGAAGCATGTAAAATGGTCTTTGCCAATGCATGCTCCTATTTTTTTATCCTCCTTAAATCTATGCCATTACTTTTTTTTTTTTTTTTTTTTTTTTTTGCTTTTTGGGTCACACCCGGCGATGCTCAGGGGTTACTCCTGGCTCATGCACTCAGGAATTGCTCCTGGCGGTGCTCGGGGGACTTTATGGGATGCTGGGAATCGAACCTGTGTCAGCCATGTTGGCTGCATGCAAGGCAAACACTTCACCCGCTGTGCTATCGCTTCAGCCCCTATGCCATTACTTTTTATCTTTTCTTGAGAGTTTTTAATAGCTCAGCTCTATTATGTTTTTATGTCATGCTGACAAGTCAGAGCTAAAAATAAGGCCAGAAAACCAAAAAGCAATATTAACAATGAAAATTTATTGAGTATGTGCCAGAAATGACTCTAGGTTTGCAAGATGACAAGTAAGACTCAAGTTCTGCTCCCAAGGAGCTCACAATCTAGAGATGGTGCAGGCCAGCAGGCAGAGAGACAATCCAAGAGGAGAAGGACCGTCATGTCTAAGGTTTGCATAGTGTTGCAGGTATACATGGAAGATGTGACTAACTGAACCTGGTGGAATCATAGAACGAATGGGGCATTTCTTAAAAGGTTTCAGACAAGAGAAGAGTCCTAAGAATTCGGAGGATAGGTATTTTGAGAGAGTTGGGAAGAAGCTGGAATTTTAGCAAAGGTAATACAGGACAAAGGAACAAATAAGAAATTGTGTCACTTAAAGGAAACTGAAAGTAGCGTGGAATGAGTATAATATAAAGTATATATCTATTATGGAAATAAAAGTAAGAAAAACAGCAGATAAAATATGTAGAAGTTCTTTCTACATATTAGCAGTGGAACAAGGAAGAGATTGAGTCTCACTGAGAAGTTTCATCCTGATAGGAATCTTATAGGTTTGATCATAGACCATAAGCTTGACTTTCAGACCAAAATGCTTATCAAATATTTGCAGTACAAATCTTTCTAATCTGAAAGGAGATCTTAGTATTCTTTTGTCCCTTCCTGCATGTAAAAGAACCAAAGAAATCTTATTAGAATGTTGAATAGTGTCTCTGTTTAGACTAATTTGTTGACAGGAACTGTCCCAGTGCCTGAATAAGTTATCCCAATGTGAAAAATTAATCAGACCAAAAAAATACAGGTAAACACCAAGAAATACATTTCACTAAATCTTTTTTTCTGCTCTCTGCAAGGCATTTCTTTTGATTATTGTCTGGATGGACAAAGAAACTTTGTTAACAAGCATGGCAAACATCTCAGTGGCTCAGTCAATTTGTGCCATTTCTCAAGATGAAAAGAGAGCAGATGTTTAGACAAATGTGCTTCTTCACATTCTTTAGGGGAGATTTTATTTGAAAGGCAGAGAAACAACACTTTGAATTGAGAGCATCTGAAAAATTGGCAAATCATCACAGCCCAGAGGTAACTGATCAGTTTTGTAGTTGTATTTTGGCTGGTCTTGACAGGTTGCATCTACTGGCAGCAGAAAGTCTGAGATTTTCACTGAGTAAGTCAGAACATTGGCAGAAGGCAATAATATATACATATACTTCCAGTGGAAGTTTAACATAGTTTTCAAGTCTCATGTTTTGAACCAGGGTCATCAGCATATGAGAATATAACTTTGTGACTTCATACCACAAGGGCTCCCTGGATGAACTGTGACCTTTAGTTTATAGAACTAAAGTTAAATACCATGAAACAGGTAGGATGGAAAATTTTATGTCATGGTTATCCTAATGTATTTGATGATGGTGCAATGATCAGAAAAGATGCCAGTGATGACAATTGAACGTCCCTTTGCCTTCCCAGCCTCCTTCATATATTCTCAGGCATAGGATGACAAAGGGAAGTCCACGAGTCACATGAAGAAAGACGGTAGCCATGGGTTACAGGATCAGGAGCGCCTCTGTTTGTGTCTAGCCCATCCTCTGTGCCACCCTCCTATTCTATTCCCTCCTCATTGGTTCCTAGGAATTCTTCCACCATCTTGCTTCTAAGCACTATTTTCTTCCCACATTTGTGCCGATGACTGATTCCATCCAATGAAGCAATGATCAACCCACGTCTGGCACAAAGCTGATGTTCCAATAATCGTTGAGTGACACAATGGCTCCCAAATTCTCCAATATAATAAAAACTTAGGGAAGTTTCTTTCTAAATGGAAAATTCTACCGAATTAATGTGAGGTAACAGAGGAAAGATTTTGGAATCATATCTGCCTAGATGTGCGTCTCTGTACATGGCTATCTGGGATTAAGACAAAGCGTTAGCAATTCAGATGCATCATATCCACTATGGAAAAGGGAAACTAATACGTCCTAGCTTGAAATTTTGTGTATATTAAAAGAGATAGTAAATGTAAAAATACCTAGCATTGTGCCAAGAACAAATCAATAAATACTTATTTCCATACTTCCTGTCATAGGTAGTATGCAACACGACATATACAATAAATAGGGATAAATAGTAGAGAGTAACTAAGTTATTCACAACTAACTGGTTGGATGTCTAGAAGAGATAGATAAGCAAGAGAATAGGAAAGAAGAGTGTTATGGAAATTTGAAAGAAAATAATTTTTTCTATGGTTAATTTTCTTATTTGGGGGCGTAAGAAAAAAATTCATGTTGACCATTAATCATACTTACCAATTGGTTCTAATTGGCAACTACCCCAAAATGAATAAAACAAGCGGGAGTCAAGAGAGAAAAACGGCAGGCATCCTGTCAAAAAATAAAATCTTTGAAATTTCTACAACCCAATGGTCGGATACACATTTAATTAAAGCAGACCGATCACTCAAGTTATACAAATTTACATATGTGATGGCGACCCACGCTGCACATTCAAAACATAGGTAAAGCATCACTCAGACTTTCTATATCAGCTTTCTTCTGCCTCATCATCTCTTCAATCAACCAGATCTTTTAAATCAACATCTTCTTTTGCTGGCAAAGTCTCCTTATTGTTTCAGACTAGACAGATATTCTAGTGGTGAAAAATTAAGTGAGTTAGTCCATGACAAGTGTGTGTCACAATGATTAGTACTTAGTACATCTTCAAAAAATATTAGTTATTAAATAAGTTATAATAGTCATTATCAAATCTTTCTACTCTGCATCTTTCAACAATGACCGAGAAATGTATTCCTGCTTCTCTCCTTTCCACATTTCTGTATCTCTAGACATATAGTATTTTATTCCCAAGTGATAAAATATTTTTGACCTAAAAGAAATACTTTTCCAGAAAAGTATACAGTTGTTTTCTTTTTAAAGAGGAATTGAAACCAATGCCAACATGTCAATGCTATTTATTCTCAGATTTCCTTGCCCCTGTCTCATTTGCCCAGAAAATGACTAATGAAGAATAGACAGATATAGCAACATATTTTATCTGTAAACTATATATGATATATAAATATAGGCATATTACATATTCTATGTATGTATATCTGTATAGTAGCACTGTAGCACTGTCCTCCCATTGTTCATCGATTTGCTCAAGTGGGTACCAGTAATGTCTCCATTGTGAGACTTCTTGTAACTGTTTTTGGCATATTGAATATGCCACAGGGAGCTTGCTAGGCTCTGCGGTGCGGGTGGGATACTTTCTGTATCTTACTGGGATCCTTATTTTAAAAAAAAATTACCGCTTTTCAATAACAATCTCAGTGTTCTTTTGTTATTTTTCTAATGTCTTTTTTTTTTTTTACATTGTATCTTCTTCAGAGGCAAAACTAGGTGGTGTTGGGTTGGTTAGGAGACTGATCCTAGAAATGACTGTGAGAATATACAGTGCTGAGAAATCTCATATAAGCAAGTTAGAGCTCAACCAATGAACCACCCCTCCCTCCCTGGCTGCCATAAATATTTTGAAGGTTATATTGTACAATCCTGTATTTGTGTGACTTACTGTCAATCTGCATGATTAACTTACATTTGTAAATTAGAATCCTAGCTTAAGAGGATTTAAAAGGTAAATATGATATTATATAACTGGTCTAAATGGATTCAAACCAGACCTTAAAGATAGTATATATGAATATATATACTAATATATATTTATAATATATATTCATATATATAATAGCATATATATATGAATCTATCAAAATTATCATGTTATTTCATTATGATAAGTTTAACAACAAAAGCCCACTTTGGGCTATTCTACCCAAAAATGAGAGATAAATATAATGGTAATATCATGTCTCTGGAGTTCACTTACTACACAAACTACTCTGAGATAGATGACTTAGGAAACATCTCATTTAAAATCTCGTCATCAGTGGACACTTCCATAAACTTGACTAATTCTGTTTTTGTCTCATTTTTTGCTCCCTTTTGAGAAACAGTATTGATGGGGATACTTATATATATATTCATGAGGTCTTATGGCCCCAACTCCTAAGATCAGCTTTGAGAGTTGTTGGTCATATTGGTAAAATTCATCTGTAAGAGGCATGGTAGCTCCTCACCTCACTCTTCACATCCTCTTTTTACAAGTATTACATATTCTTTTCACACACATACCTTTCTATAAGCATGTGCTACTAGAACCAGGGAGATGGCTCAAAGCGCTAGAGCACATAATTTGCATCTTGGCACCTGGGTTTATCCTCAGCACACCAATATGAACATCCCTGAGAAGGACTCCTGAGCACTGTTAAGGAGGCAACCCCCCCAAACTGCACTAGGAGTAGCCCCCAAGCACTACAAGATAGGATTCACAGAAGCTCCTCCCCCCCCCACTCCCCCCACAAGAGAAGAATGTACCTACTGGGAAAAAAAACAGAAAATCTTATGCTTCAAAGTACACAAAGGAGGAGCTGATTCTTCCAGGTTCTTTTGTTAAATGTAAAAATAACAAACCACAAGTAAATTCTATGTATTTCCGGAAAGTTCTATTGAGGATGTTCCTTTGAGTGCATGCCTTCTCCACCTGCTCTTTCACTGGGCACAATTACAGCCCTTACTAAATACCATGAACAAAGCTGCAAATAGGCGACAACATAGTTTAGCACAGACATTTGTTGAGGGAAGCAAGCACAAAGCAGGCTTGGATAAATCTTTCCTGAAGGTTAGACAGAAAACTGGTATTTTTCAGGTTTTTTTAAGTTTTTTTCTCTTCATACTAGTGACAAACTCTGATAAAAGTTAAATTAACGTCTTAGAAAAGATCAGCTGATTAACTGAAAATGTGATGCATGTTTAAAAATGGAAATGCCTAGATATCAGGTTGTTTATCACCATTCCAACTGTCTCTCCCTACTCTTCAAGACACAGCAGAAAAAATGTCTCAAGATAAATGGAAGGAAAATTAATAAAAGTAAAGTGGTGGCCCAGAGCAAGTCTAGAGCATTTGCCTTGCATGTGTGTGACCCAGGTTCGATCCCCAGCATCTCATACGGTTCCCTGAATACCTCCGGAAATGATTCCTGAGTGTAGAACCAGGAGTAACCCCTGAGCAGCATTGAAGTGTGGCCCCCCTACACAAAATAACCCCCCCCCCAAATAAAGTGGTAAGGATCTTGAATTAAAATAAGCCAGTAAGGGCCTGAGAGATATAACTGAAATAAATGAAGCCATACTTTGTATGTGGGCAATCTGGTTTCAATCCCCAGGGCACTGGTAGTAGCTGATGGGCACTGCCCAGATAAGGCTTCAAACGCTCCAAAGAGAGAGAAAATGAGCTCGATGCCCAAAGTATTTCATCTGTGTTTATTACCTTCCTTCCTTCCTTCCTTCCTTCCTTCCTTCCTTCCTTCCTTCCTTCCTTCCTTCCTTACTCCCTCCCTCCCTCCCTCCCTCCCTCCCTCCCTCTTTCTTTCTTTCTTTCTTTCTTTCTTTCTTTCTTTCTTTCTTTCTTTCTTTCTTTCTTTCTTTCTTTCTTCCTTCCTTCCTCCCTCCCTCCCTCCCTCCCTCCCTCCCTCCCTCCCTCCTTCCTTCCTTCCTTCCTTCCTTTTCTCTCTCCTTCCTTCCTTCCTTCCTTCCTTCCTTCCTTCCTTCCTTCCTTCCTTCCTTCCTTCCTTCCTTCCTTCCTTCCTTCCTTCCTTCTCTCCTTCCTTCCTTCCTTCCTTCCTTCCTTCCTTCCTTCCTTCCTTCCTTCCTTCCTTCCTTCCTCTATCTCTCTCTCTTTTGCTTTTTGGGTCACACCCAGTGTTGCACAGGGGTTACTCCTGGCTCAAGCACTCAAGAATTACTCTGGCAGTGCTCAGGGGACCCTATGGGATGCTGGGAATCAAACCCAGGTTGGCCAGGCGCAAGGCAAACTCCCTACCCGCTGTGCTATCACTCCAGCCCCTCTTTCTTTTTCCTTTTTTCTTTCATTTTAAGATTGAAGTCACATCACATTGCTTAAGTTTTATGTGTGTATCTTTCAAAACAATGAATAGAAATGCTACATTAGTGTAACTGTTAGCATTTTATTGTAAAAGAGTTCAAATCTATCCCTAAAGTCCTAGTCTATTTATTCCCTGTTTGTCCCCTTTGCCCTGACTATCGGATTTCCCCTCTCTGTGTTACACAGAGTAAGAAAGTCTCCCAGACTCAGATTGTGCTGATCCTGAACAAGGAGCAGCATACTAGGAACTTGAAGTTCTGAGGTCTGGTGAAACCTGGGTTAGTTCGCTCACAGCAAGACTCTGGTAGGACATTTTGCCTTTTGTCTAAATCGTTCCATATGAATAAAGAAGATTATCCACTTCCTCTTCAAGCCTGTGTTCTCCCTTGGACACGTATCTTGCTTGCTTGTCTTTGTCTCTTTGCTTGCTACCTTTCCACTCTGGAGAAGACCATGTTCTCTCTTTAACACATTATTTCCACTCTTAAGCTCACCTCACATTTTTTTCTATGAAAATTTTATTCAATAAAAAATATCTTGCTTCCCAAATAATTAAGAAAATTTAAATGAAAAGGAGGGAATAAATAAAAATGAAATCCAAGCATATATATAGCTATATATAAAAATCTCTATGTGCAAATATTTCGTTTATCATTCTGGTTTATGGTCTACCACCCTACTAAGGGGAATTGGTAGAAGTATAAACAACAAAACAGATTCATTTTTGTTTCTTAAAAACGAATCCCAGCTCATATCCAATCCTTTTTTAATATTTGAAGCTGAAATTTTCTTCTGTAGTTAGGAACGGATAAACAGTTTAATAAAAGTCAAATTAGATGCCATGCTGTGGGCTAAATTTCTGGCTGTCGAAAGCTTTTAGCTGCAGCACTGCCATCCATTACCTATCAAGACCTTACTTGAAGGAACTGTGCCAACATATATCCTGTGAATAAACGACCCACTCAGAAATGCTCTGCTTGGACTCATTGTACTTTTATCATTACATTCTGCTTTTCTGTTGTAGAGTGTACGTCTCTGCAAATTATGAAAGCACGGGTTCAGGATACCATCTTGCGAAGTCTTCTTCTGAGCAATCGGACCTGGGGCCATTGCTTAATCTCTTGTGCATCAGTTTTCTCAATAGCCAAAGGTTAGAAAAATCAGCATCCACTTCAGTGTTTCTGTAAGCATTAACTCTGTTATTTTTTTGCAAAGTGTTTAGACAGCCCTCAAAAAATACTAGTATTATTAATGTCCTTGAAAACCTCTAAATCTTGAAGTACACAGCTATGATTTATTTGTCTTGCAACTTCTACAGTATTTTGCATACTGCAGGCAAAAGGGCACAGCAGACACTGATAGGGTAATAGAATTACTGCCA